TAATATGGGACTGTTTTCCATGATTGTCATGACTGTTATTTGTAAATATAAGTAAGCTTGATGTATTTCCCTCTTATTAGCTCCCTTCATTATCTTATTATTAATATCAGTTTCCAGGTGACTCCTGGGTCTTCCAGTTCCTCAGCACTCTCGCTGCAACTAGAGAGACTTTGCCTTTTCCCTCCCACTTTTAGAAAAAGTTCCTGTATTTGAACAACAGTTACAACAAAACCGCTGGGGTTAGTCCGGAGAGTTCCCAACCCCCATTATCAGCATCGTTCATTGGGGCCGTGCGCTGCTGTGAGTACAGGGCCCACACGCGTACATCCCCCCGCATCCATGCTTCATTCAGTGCCCTCGTCTGGGGCCAACGTCCTCTCCCTGTTCCCAAAGTGGTCACGTTCCGTGGTCCTCTCTGTAGGCCCTTCTTGACTGTTAAGTTTCTCAGGTGTCCCTTGTTTGTTGAGGACTTCCCCAGTTTCTTTTCTTTCTTTCTTTCTTTCTTTTTTTTTTTTTTTTTTTTTTCAGGCAGAGTGGACGGAGAGAGAGATAGAGAGAAAGGTGCAGCTGCCACGCTGCGGCTGGCGCACCGCGCTGATCCGAAGGCAGGAGCCAGGTGCTTCTCCTGGTCTCCCATGGGGTGCAGGGCCCAAGCACCTGGGCCATCCTCCACTGCACTCCCTGGCCACAGCAGAGAGCTGGCCTGGAAGAGGGGCAACCGGGACAGAATCCGGCGCCCCGACCGGGACTAGAACCCGGTGTGCCGGCGCCACAGGCGGAGGACTAGCCTAGTGAGCCGCAGCGCCGGCCGACTTCCCAGTTTCAAGGGACGCTGGCTAGCAGTCTAGAGAACACGCTTCGCCCACACCCAGCAGCCATAAAAACTGCAGGCTGAATGCACGCTGGGCGCTCGTCTACTGAGGTGCCAGGCGCACCCTCTTCGTTACTTCTCTTCTCTAAACTTGGCCAGCACGCTCAGCGCTTCACAAACGTCCCGTCCTGTCTCAGCGGGAACGCCTCTGGAGGGCCCCGAGCATCGGAGCCGAGGCTGCGAGGATCAGGAGATACCATTCTTACAGTCCTGCAGTGTCCACAGCGCCCGCCTCTGAACTGTTGGCTCTGCTCGGGATGTGGCTGCGCCGGGGTGGACGCTGGCCTCCCAGGCGAGCTGTTTTCACACCCCAGGCGCTCTCTCCGCTCTTCTCCCAGCGAGACGGGTGGGAGACGTGCAGGTCTGCCTCCCCTGACTGGGCGCACTCCTCCCTTCCGTGCAGGTCTGCCTCCCCTGACTGGGCGCACTCCTGCATCTGCCCCTGCAGCGCCTCTCCCCACCCTCCCTGCCCTGCCCAGGAGCAGGCGCTTCGGGCAGACCTCACAGAGACCTGGGAGCCTGAAGTGCGTGTCTCTCCAAGTCTGACCCGAAATGGAGGCTGTGGGCTTTCAAATGCCTTCTTCTTGACAAATTCCCGGGGGAGGGGAAATGCAGGCCTTTGCGATTACGTTCATATCAAAACTTCAGACGAAGTAATTTGTGACCCCGAATCCACCCACTGTTTCTGGAACGAGTCAGTCGATCTTTGGTAGGAACACCCTGGGGAGTTTGGAGCTAGATTAGTGAACCTGGTGTAGTTAAACAGAAACTTGCCTTGGTAGTGCAGGCGCTCGGTTCAGAGACAAGGAAATTCACTGAGTGAAAAATAATTGAGCACCTGCCCCGTGCTGTGTTAGGTGGTGCTAACTGTCGGTGGAGGTGGAGTTGATGAGTAGGACATCGTCTGTGCTGACCCTCACCTCCTTAGAGTAATGAAAGCAATCTCAAATGCTAAAAGGAACCGGAAGTGAATTTTAATGCATGGAAGCACTTGGAGTCCTGTCCTCTTTGAAGGACTGGGACTGCCCAAAGGGTGGAGTTTATCTCTGGTCCATTTGGGCCCAGGAGGGCTACAGCTGGAATGGACGGTCACTGCCCAGCCAGCTGGCCGTGACCGTAGCAGGGAGGGAGTGGTGTGGGGAGGACGCCCTGGGGCTCTCCTCCCCTTACCCCCTCGCGTGGAAGGACGGGGCCTGGAGGGAGGGTAGCTGCGAGCTGCCAGCCCTGCACAGTGTGTGCCCAGATACCCTGTGTGCTGTGCTGTGGACAGTGCACCACGGCACCCACCACTGGCCCCTCCAGCCCCAGCGCTGGACAGCCGCTGACCCGGAGCTCAAAGCTGCTGCCTCTTAGCTCCATAATTCCTCTCTGGTCTCCTCTTCCCCTACTGTGCCCCTCTCCCCACCACCCCACCCCGACCCTTACTCACTTGAATCACAAGTAGCCTGCTCACCACACCTGGAACACACAGCACCCCACCTTCTCCCTCGCTAGCTCATCAGCCACAAAGTCCTTCCTGCCTTCCGCCCACCACATGCACACTTCTCCTTCAGGGTCTCCTTCCTTCGTAAACTCTGAGCCGGGGGTGGGGTGCGGGTGGGGGGCGGTTTCCTTCCTCTGGGAGCCGGGAGGCGTTCTGTTTGTGACCCTGTTATCACACCTGTCTCACCTGCATCACGGCTCAGCCTGGGTTTTCCCTGCGGATTACAAATCCCATGGGAACACAGCCTGCTCCCTCCTCCTTCTATTGTCCCCATAACCTGGCATTTTGCTTGGCACAAAACAGGCATTCAACGGATGGGACTCAGTTGCCTCAAATCGTTTCACATGGGTATGAGAGTTTTAGGGGAAAAATCTCCCTAAAGTCTAAAATCACACCTGGCCTGTGCTGCCCAGGAGCCAGGGCTGTGAAATCACGGACGGGATGGGTCTAGTGTCTGACAAGGCTCTTACCCCACCTTGGTGTGGAAGTCACACGGGCTTACTTTCTGTGGTTCTGAGAGGGTTACACGTAGCTGTCGCCAGAGGCTCCAGATTCCTGTCCTAAGCCCTGGATGACCTGAGATGGTGCAAGCCGGCACCCTGTGGTGGCCCACGCCCTCCAGCGCACACTATGGCATGAAGGCACAGTCCCACCCACGGCCAGCCCGAAAGCTTCTGGCCCACTGTGGCTCAAGGAAGAGAACTGCAGCTCCGAAAGAGCAGGGGCAGATTCAGAACCACCCTCTATCCAGGCCCCAGCAACACAGGTGCCTAACTTGCTTAGTGATCCCTCCCTGCGACTCCCTCCCCCGGGTGAGCCCCTGGCTTCTACAACAACTGGGGAGCACCGGATGCATCAGCAGCTCTGAGTCTAACCCAGGAGACCCACCAGAAACAGATCACGGACGAACGGCTACAAATGAGCTTCTCGTATTTAATTTCTATAAAGGCAGTATCAGCTTTCCTGTCTTGCTTCTATTTTGAGAGCCAGAGAGCTCCAATGTGCTGGTCACTCCCTAAATGATGGCAATGGGCACAGTGGGGCTGCGGCCAGGGCGAGGAACCAGGAATTCAATCCAGGTTGGGGGCAGGGACTCCGTTACTTGAGCCATCGCTGCTGCCCACCAGGCTCTGAGTGGCAGGAAGCTGGAGTCAGGAGCAGTAGCCAGGCTCTGTGATACGACACAGGCATCCTCGTCACTAGGCCAAATGCCTACTGCCCCCGACTTTCCCTTTCAAAACCACTCTTCTGAGAATGCGTTCTTTATCAGTGTGGAGGATGTGCTAGTGCAAACTCGACAGAAGCATTTTCAACTGGCTAACTCGGTCAACGGCTTGCAAGATAGGTTTTCATTTTTGAGAGATTAGAGATCTCCCAGACTGTGCTGAAGTCTCGGCTGGATTCTGATGAGTAAGACTGGGAGGAAGGCCACAGAGAGTGACTGATCTTAGAGGGATGAAGTCACACATGAATAAAATAACTTCTAAGAAATGACCGGCCAAACTTTTGAGTCACCCAGAAGTTAAAAAACTCAGAGCCAATGTATTTTTTTAAAGAGTTACTTATGGGGCTGGTGCTATGGTGTAGCGGGTAAAGGTGCCGCCTCCAGTGCCAGCATCCCATATGGGCACTGGTTCATGTCCTGGCTGCTCCACTTCCTATCCAGCTCTCTGCTATGGCCTGGGATAGCAGTAGAACATGGCTAAGTGCTTGGGCCCCTGCACCCAATTGGGAGACCTGGAAGAAGCTCCTGACTCCTGGCTTCGGATGGGCACAGCTCCGGCTGTTGCAGCCAATTGAGGAGTGAACCAGCGGATGGAAGACCTCTAACTCTTTCAAATAAATAAATAAATCTTTAAAATTAAAAAAAATAGTTATTTATATGAAAGGCAGAGTTAGAGAGAGGCAGAGAAAGGGGCAGGGGGAGGTCTTCCATCTGCTGGTTCACTCCTTAGATGGCTGCAACAGCCAGAGCTGAGATGATCTGAAGGCAGGAGCCAGGAGCTTCTTCAAGGTCTCCCAACGGGGTGCAGGGGCCCAAGCACTTGGGCCATCCTGCACTGCTTTCCCAGGCCATAACAGAGAGCTGGATCAGAAGTGGAGCAGCCAGGAGTCGAACTGATGCCCATATGGGATACTGGCACTGCAGGCGGCCATTTTACCTGCTATGCCACGGTGCTGGCCCCCTAGAGCCAATATTTTTATAAGATATTTTTCACAATTTACTAATTTTTTGATAGGCAGAGTTAGACAGTGAGAGAAAGAGAGAGAGAAAGGTCTTCCTTCCGTTGGTTCACTCCCCAAATGGCCGCTACAGCCAGTGTGCTGCGCCGATCCGAAGCCAGGAGGCAGGTGCTTCCTCCTGGTCTCCCATGCGAGTGCAGAGCCCAAGGACCTGGGCCATGCTCCACTGCACTCTCGGGCCACAGCAGAGAGCTAGACTGGAAGAGGGGCAACCGGGACAGAATCCGGCGCCCCAACCTGGACTAGAACCTGGGGTGCCTGCGCTGCAGGCGGAGGGTTAGCCAAGTGAGCTGCGCCAGCCTTAACAGCTATTTTCATGTCATATCAACAATAAATTTTAGTTGATTATTCTTATCCCTCCTGATGGCACTTAAAAATGAAGAAAGAGATATTGCATACCCTATTAATCTCCTTTATTTTTAATTTTGAAGGCAGTATTTATAAACAAGCAAAAGGCCCCAGATAAATGCATTCTGGGCCTATAAGTAGTATCTGTAAAATCTGAATAATCGCCTGTGATAATTCAATCTAAACGTGTCCACGGCCAACAGGCTCTGGGCTGCCAGGAGCGTCTGCATCGTGAGTGTCTTCGCTCTCTGTTTGGCCATCAGGCCCTGCAGATGCCCTCATCTCTTTACACCTGTAAATGCCAAACGTTAGGCTTCCAGGAGCAAACAGTCCTTTACAATAACAGTCAAACAGGTTTGTCACGGCACTAATTGCTTCCACGTGTACCTGGGTTCACGGGCTACACCGTGCCTCAGATTTATTATTAGCATGTCAAGGTTTTCTATGTCGTTCCATAAGAGCTGGGAATTTAGGGCCCCCCCTTTTTGCATAACAGGAAATAGTGCTCGGCTCCTGCAGATCCCTCCAGGGAGCCGTCAGCCCAGGCTGGGGGGGACAGTTCTTTTCCTTGCGCCCTCACTGAACGCACTCTGGGCTCTGGGACGTCCTCCTGCAGACCAGCCTGGTGTGGGGTGACCCCTGGGACAGGCTTCTCCTGACCCTGCTGCAGACCACCTTGGGGAAGCTCTGGCGGAGGGCCGCCCTACAGCGCGTCGTAGAGGTCGTGGTCCACGGTGGACTGCGTGTGCGAGGAGCTCGGGGTGTCGGCGGGGTACAGCTGCAGGACCCCGCAGGGCTGGCAGAGCGCCAGGGGGCCGCGGCAGGTCTTGAAGAGCTGCACGATGTACTTGCGAAACTTCTCCCCCAGGAAGAAGTAGATGACGGGGTTCAGGCAGCAGTGGACGAAGGCCAGCGTCTCTGTGGCCTGGACGGCGTAGTCCAGCTGCCTCTCGAAGGTGCAGTCCTGAAGCAGCTCCAGCTCCACCAGCGTCTCCAGGAAGAGCACCACGTTGTAGGGCGCCCAGAAGCCCAGGAAGAGGACCACCACGGCGAAGACCATCTTCACGGCCTTGCTCCTCTTCTCGCTCTTGCAGCGCTGCAAGGCCCTGACGATCGTGGAGTAGCAGAACAGCATGACAGCCAGCGGCACCACCAGCCCCAGGATGTTGGTCTCCAGGGAGCTCAGCACCTTCCACGTGGTGGAGTTCACCGAGAACCTGGCCCTGCAGTAGGTGTGGTTGCGCTCGGTGTAGCAGGTGCTGAACAGGAGGCCGGGAAGGGAGGCGAAGATGGCCACTGACCAGGTAGCCAAGCTGGTGATGACCCCGTAGGTCAAGGTCCTGGCTCGCAAGGAGAACACGGCGTGCACGATGGCCAGGTACCTGTCGATGCTCATGAGCATGATGAAGAAGATGCCGCTGTAGAAGCCCACCAGGTACATCCAGGACACGAACTTGCACAGCCCCAGCCCGAACACCCACTGGTCCGCGGCGTAGTAGCCCCAGAACGGGAGGGAGAGCACGAAGAGCAGGTCGGAGACGGCAAGGTTGAGCAGGTACACGTCGGTCATGGACCTGAGCCGCTTGTACTTGAACAGCACCAGGACCACCACGGAGTTCCCCAGCAGGCCAAAGAGGAAGACCAAGGAGTACAGGGGGGGCAGGAAGAGCTTCCCGAAAGCCTTGATGCCCTCTTTGGTGCAAGGCTTGGGCATACTCTCGTACGCATAGTAATTGCTATAAATGCTCTCGTCCACGGTGGTGTCTGTGAGATCCGTGGGGTTCATTATTTTTTTAAGTCTGCAGGCTCCTCAACCAGAAGAAGCTAACGGGGGAAAGCACAAACCAGAAAGAGCAAAGGTAAAGCAGATGGTGTGAGACACACGGCACAGCTGCGTGCGGTTTCGTCCCCACGACCTTCCCCACGCGGAGGGACACATGACACAGCTGCATGCCATCTCATCCCCATGGCCTCCCCCACACAGAGGGACACACAGCACAGCTGCGTGCCACTTCATCCCCACGGCCTTCCCCACGCGGAGGGGCACCTGGCACAGCTGCGTGCCGTCTCATCCCCACGGCCTCCCCCATACAGAGGGACACACAGCACAGCTGCGTGCCACTTCATCCCCACGGCCTTCCCCACGCGGAGGGGCACCTGGCACAGCTGCGTGCCGTCTCGTCCCCACGGCCTCCCCCATGCAGAGGGACACACGGCACAGCTGCGTACCATCTCATCTCCACCACCTTCCCCACGCGGAGGGGCACTGCAGCCGGCTGAAATGACCCTGGCCTTGGACGGGGTGCAAATGCCAGCCCTGCCGCCTCTGGCACCCTCACGCTCCTGCAGGGAGCTCTCCCCTCTCATTGTGAGGGTCGTAACACCGCCTGCTTTTCTTGTTTGTTTATTCTGTGGGGCCAGTGCTGTAGCTCAGCAGGTTAAGCTGCCAGCTGCAACACCAGCATCCAGTATCCAGAAGCACTGGTTCGAGTCCTGACTGCTACGCTTCTGATCCAGCTCCCCACCAGTGTGCCTGGGAGAGCTGCAGATGAGCCCCTGCCACTCACTTGGGAGACCCGGATGGGTTCCTGGCTCCTGGCTTCAGCCTTGCCCAGCCCTGTTCATTGCAACCATTTAAGGAAGTGAACCAGTGGATGGAAAATCCCTTTCTCTGTCTCTGTCTCTTGCTCTCTCAGATATGCCTATCAAGTAAATGAAAACAAATCCTTAAAAAAAGACTCACTTTTTTATTTTATTTTTTTGACAGGCAGAGTTAAACAGTGAAAGAGAGAGAGACAGAGAGAAAGGTCTTCCTTCTGTTGGTTCACTCCCCAAATGGCCGCTACGGCCAGTGCGCTGCGCTGATCCGATGGCAGGAGCCAGGAGCCAGGTGCTTCCTCCTGGTCTCCCATGGGGTGCAGGGCCCAAGCACTTGGGCCATCCTCCACTGCACTCCCGGCCCACAGCAGAGGGCTGGCCTGGAAGAGGAGCAACCGGGACAGAATCCGGCGCCCCGACCGGGCCTAGAACCTGGTGTGCCGGCGCTGCAAGCGAGGACTGGCCCAGTGAGCCGCGGCGCCGGTCACGACTCACTTCCACACACAGAATCCTACCAGAGTGGAAGTGAGGCTGTGAACTCTGGAACAGGCGCACTGCAGCAGAAAGAAGCCCCTCCCCAGCGGCAGGTCCCGCCCGGCCCACACGTTTCTCATAACAGACCCAGCACTGCCCGACCCCGGACTCCTTCTTACTGCTTTCCCGGCACCCGACCCCTCCACGTCCAGAATCCACACCCAGCCCTCCTCCCCAAAGGCCAGGCTGTGCGCTTCCCAAGACACGGATCTCGGTTATTATGCAGATGGATTCTGAAGGCCTGTTGCATCACAGGGTCTCCAAAAAAAGTTTGTTAAATTTGTAGAATTCTATTCTTCCTCTACCGTTTCACCAGTGAAATTAAAGGAAAACACAAGGCAAAAGAGCCAGAAGTTCCCAGGAAAACACGGGAACAGAGCCAGGGAGTGTTCAGGATCATCCCGCAGGCTGTCCTGAGCGGAGAGTCGCGACGGAAGCAAGAAGCAGACAATACTGCACTTTCATCCTTAGTAACTCATCTTATTTGGAAGGCAGAGAGAGAGAGAGAGAGAGAGAGAGAGAGAGAGAGAGAATGAATGAATCTCCCAGCTGCTGAGTCTCTCCCCAAATGCCCCGACAGCCAGGGCTGGGCTTAGCAAGCCTGTGGAGGGCTGGGTCCCAGTGACCTGGGCCATCAGCCACTGCCTCCCAGCATCCGCTCGGCAGGCAGCTGGAGTCAGGAACAGCGCCAGGACCTGAACCCAGGCACTCCCACATGGCGTGAGGGCATCCAGGTGGCACCAAACAACTGCCTCAGGTCTGTAACTGTTTTTCTAAATGGTTTGCCAGTTTCCTTTTTAAAAGGTCTATTTATTTTATCTGAAAGAACATGAGAGATGGAAGGAGAGAGAGAGAATCTCCCCCGCACTGGGTCAGTCCCCACATGCCTACGAAGCCAGGGGTGCGCCCAGAAAGCAGGAACTTCTGGGTCTTCCACACGGGTGTTAGGAACCCAAGCACTGGGGCTCCATCTGCTTTCCCCAGGGACATGAGCAGGAAGCTGGATGGGTGGCAGAGGCAGGACTCAATCCCAAATACTCTGATACAGGGCGCAGGCCTGCCAAGCTGCGGCTTAACCCACTGCACCCAACCTGCCTGCCTGCCAAGTTCGTGATTCTGGGGAAAACTGTGCATTATTTGGCGCACTGGACTTATGCCGCACACGTGCAGGGAGAGAGGACACCTCATGCAGGCGACAGCAGGGGCTGCGGCACAGCAGGTTCAGCCGGCACCCTCATCCGACTCCCTGAGATTAAGTCCCAAGTACTCGTGTCCCTGCCACCCATGTGGGAGATCCACGTGGCATTCCAGGCTCCCGGCTTCAACCTGGCCCGGCCCGGGTATTGCAGGCATTTGGGGAGTGAACCAGAGGATGGAAGATGTGTGTGTGTGTGTCTCGCCCTGGCTGTCGCAGGCGTGTGCGTGTGTGCGTGTGTGTCTCCCCCTCTTTTCTCTGTCACTCTGCCTTTCAAATAAATAAAAATCAACAACAGCAGCATCAAAAAAACGAGTTTTACCCTACCTTCTTGGAACCTCAGCTCTTTAAACAACAACAAAAAAGTTCATGAAAATGGAATTCAAGGTTTATTTTGGTACCAAAAAAATTGATATCTATCAATCTGAGCTGAAAAGTTTAAGTAAATTGCGCATTATGGAAAAGCTACGTGAAAAGCTACGTGTGGAGTTTAAGCTTTTTGGCACCAAAATAAACTTTGATTTCTACTTTTCACCAACGTTTTGAAGTCCCTTATGTGTTTCTGCCCCTCGGAGGAGGGCTGGGAAGACCTGTGTGGACGGGGCTTGGAGCCCCAGAGTGCAGCCGCCGAGAGCCGCCTCCGGTCCACAGGTGCCTGGGCCCTGGCGGTGGCCCCCTCCCCACCTACCTTGCTCTTCGGAACTGGCTCTGAGGAAGGTCTGGTAGGCAGTGCCAGGCTTGCCGGAGCAGCAAGTGCTGAGACAGACAGGAGTCTTTGAAGGCCATGTGGTTTCCTGTGAGCGCAGGCTGAGTTCACAGTGGGGTTTTTTTTTTTTTTTTTTTACTTGAAAGGCAGAGTTACAGAGCGAGAGAGGGAAAGAGAGAGAATGCGAGCGAGCTTCTGTCTGCTGTCACTCCCCCAAATGGCCATAACAGCCAGAGGGCTGGGCCAGGTAAAAGCCAGGTACCTAGAAATCCAACTGGGTCTCCCCACGTGGGTACAGGGGCCCAAGCACGTGGGCCTCCGTCCACTGCTTTCTTGAGTGCATTAGCAGGGAGCTGGACAGAAGTGGAGCAGCCGGGACATGATCCGGTGCCCACGGGGGATGCCAGCATTGCAGGCAGAGGTTTAACCTACTGCACCACAGCGTAGGCCCCAGAACCTCCACTTTCTTATCTGCAGACAGGGGTGACAATGACTGAGGGCTGTGGCAGGACGGAATGACCGCCCGTGTTTAAAGCATTGGGATAGTGCCTGGCACATACGGGGCTCAACAGTGGCACTGGAAGCGAACACTAACAGGGTGGACACAATGCACAGGACCAGCTTCCTCTGTTGTGACAGCTCAGGCTGGCTTAGCGCCCTCAGCCATCATGGAGAGCCCAGCGAACGGTTTGGGTTAGACTGGGTAGACCATGTTCAATCTCCGAGTCAGTGTTCAGGCTAAATGCTGGCCTTGCGTTTCCAAGGCAAGAGGCTGACCTGGGGAGGGTGCACTCCCAGCACAGGCAAACACCAAGGAGGTTTCCCTTGGATAAGAGTTTCAAATGCAACACTCAAGGGAAAAAAATCCCACCATTCCATAGGTGGAAAAACAGGAACCTGGAGGGGGGAGATGGGAGATGCTTCCCGCCAGGAACACGGCCAGTGGGAGACACAGCTGGGCCAAGGCCCACACTGCAGACGGCCTCACGGACAGCAAGGTGCACGGGGCTTGATTTCTGAGCACCGAGCAGAGAGGAGCAGACAATGAAAAGCCCTGCCCTGCTGAGACCAGGTGCCTAGCACAGCACAGTGCTCCGGGGACCCAAGCCTTACTTCCACACCAGAGACCTCAAGGTGCCCCCTGCAGGCCGTGCGTGCAAACCAAGCCACAGGGCCGGCCTGTCGGAAATGGGGAGTGGGAACTCCCCATGCCTCCAGAGGAGCCCGGTAGGGGAAAAAACCCCTCAGGAAATGAGAGCGCCACCTAAGGGGGCCTTGGCCTAGGGAATGGGGGCTTTCAACAAGGGAAATCTCAGGCCAGCCCTTCGGGCTTCCCCTGCCTTGGCGTCCCCAGAGGCCTCTGCGTCTCTCTAGTGCTGGGTCCCCTTTTCCTCCAGCTCTGGCCATTTCCTGAAGCCCCACATCAAGACTCTGTCCCAGGTCTGCTCAGCATTAGTGCCTCAGGGCTGAGGGCGGGGATGCTCCCAGCCCCGCAGCCTCCCCCTGCCACGGGTCATTGCGGAGGGGGAGGTGAAACTGTCACCTGCCAGGACTTTCCAAGATAAGTGATTCCTCATAAACTTCGTTTTCATTGCAAACCCAGTGGGCTAGCTGCTGCTTGCAACACTGGCATCCCACTGGAGGGCAGGTCTGAGTCCTGGCTGTTCTAACCCAGCTGCCTGCTAATGTGACCTAGGCAGCAGAAGATGGCCCAAGTCCCTGGGCCCCTGTCACCCACTGGGAGATCTAGTTGGGAGTTCCTGGCTCCTGGTTTCCATCTGGCCTGGCCCTGGCTGTTGCTGGCATTTGGGGAGTGAACCAGGAGATCAAAGATCCTTCTCATGCACTGTCTCTTCTTTCCTTTCTGTTGCTAAGGTTCCAGATGACTAATTAAAAATAATAAAGAAACCCAGGGCCGGCGCTGTGGCGCACCAGGTTAATGCCCTGGCCTGCAGTGCCAGCATCCCATGTGGGTGCCAGCTCAAGTCCTGGCTGCTCTACTTCTGATCCGGCTCTCTGCTATGGGCTGGGAAAGTGGTGGAGGATGGGCCAGGTCCCTGCATCCATGTGGGAGACCCAGAAGAAGCTCCTGGCTCCGGATCGGCGCAGCTCCAGCCATTGTGGCCAATTAGAGGGTGAACCAGCAGATGGAAGACCTCTCTCTCTCTCTCTCTCTGCCTCTCCTCTCTGTGTGTAACTCTGACTTTCAAGTAAATAAATAAATCTAAGAAAAGAAAAGAAAGGAGGGAGGGAGGAAAGAAAGAGAGAGATAGAGGGAGGGAGGGAGGGAGGTAGAGAGATAGATAGAGAGGTAGAGAGATAGAGAGATAGAGGGAGGGAGGGAGATAGAGAGGTAGAGAGGTAGAGAGGTAGAGGGAGGGAGGAAGGGAGGAAGGAATCCAAAATCAGTTCCTGGGTTCCCAGCCCTTCTCATCTCTAAAGCCAGAGGTGGAACATCTCTCTCTTCTGACCGCCTGCTGGCCGTCAGGCCCACCCAGATAATCCAGGATAATCCCCCTGTTTTTTTTTTTTTTTTTTTTTTTTTTTTTTTTTTTTTTTTTTTGACAGGCAGAGTGGACAGTGAGAGAGAGAGACAGAGAGAGAAAGGTCTTCCTTTTGCCGTTGGTTCACCCTCCAATGGCCGCCGCTGCAGCCGGCGCACCGCGCTGATCCTGGCAGGAGCCAGGAGCCAGGTGCCTTTTCCTGGTCTCCCATGGGGTGCAGGGCCCAAGCACCTGGGCCATCCTCCACTGCACTCCCTGGCCATAGCAGAGAGCTGGCCTGGAAGAGGGGCAACCGGGACAGAATCCGGCGCCCCAACCGGGACTAGAACCCGGTGTGCCGGCGCCGCAAGGTGGAGGATTAGCCTATTGAGCCACGGCGCCGGCAATCCCCCTGTTTTAAAACCCTCATTTAACCACACCTGCAGGAGTTCTTTCACAGGTTCTGGGGAACTCTGTAGAGGCATCTTTAGGGGCCATTATTCTGTCTTCTATTCACATTCAGTTATGGTGCTGATCCTGATAGAAAACTCTTATGGAAGTTTTCTGATACACGGTAGAGGGTGCAGCAGGTTGTCCAAAATTAGAATTGTTGCTTGAAAGCTCGAATCTGATCACTGCCAACAAGCACGGCCAATGACAGTGTCCACACCATGTCTGCTACATACCTGCTTGACTTATCACCGAGTGTTAGTTACTGTCTCAAGTAAAGTGGAATTCCTTGTGAATTCAAGGGAATGAGACCAGAATTGGTAAAACTGGTTCTGGAGTGGCTGGCTTTTTAGGACAGTTTGTCCAAAGATCCCAGCAGCTTTTTACAAAGTCAGAGAAAATAACAGAGTAAACAATACAAAGTTATTGGGACCACAGTTTTGATATGATGGACAGGGTCTCAGGGACCCACCCCAACCCCAGGGACCAGTGGGGCACACTTGAACAACTGCTGCTTCAGAGAAACAGAGGTCCCAGCAGATGGCGCACGTGCAGCAGCGTTTCCCAGTCTACCAGGACCAGGCTTCGGAAACTGACTTCCTGGTATGGAAACTAACATGGGCTGCTCCACTTCCCATCCTGCTCCTGCTAATGTGCCTGGGAAAGCAGAGGAAGATGGTCCACGTCCTTAGGCCCCTGCATCCATGCCAGAGACATGGAGGAAGCTCCTGGCTCCTGATTCAGATTGGCTCAGCTAAGCCGTTGTGGCCATTTGGGGAGTGAACCAGCGGATGGAAGACTTTTCTCTCTCTCTGCCTCTCTCTCTTTCAAATAAAGTAAATCTGGGTCTTGGGCCAATGCTCCCACATGGGATGCCCATGTCCAGACAGCAGCTGAGCCACCACATCTCCTCATTTTCCTTCCTCTGTATGGAACAGCAGTGCACTGAGGAAAATTTCACAGAGAGAACACTCGTATCTACTGGAATTCAGCTTGTATGCAGTCTTAATGCTTCTCGGTTAAGGCATTTTTCTATTTTACAGAGAAAAGATTTTGAATTTTATTTATAAAACAGCAAGCTCTAGTGATGACTACCATGGATGATCCTGAAAGCCATGAGGTCCAAGAATGGATCAGAGGTGCCAGCGCTGTGGCGTAGTAGGGTAAGCCTTTACCTGCAGCACCGGCATCCCACATGGGTTTGAGTCCCAGCTGCTCCACTTCCGATCCAGCTCTCTGCTGTGGCCTAGGAAAGCAGCAGAAGATGGCTCAAGTCCTTGGGCCCCTGCACCCACGTGGGAGACCCAGAAGAAGCGTCTGGCTCCTAGCTTCAGAACAGCTCAGTTCTGGCCATTGCCACCATTTGGGGAGTGAACCAATGGATAGAAGATGTCTCTTTCTCTCTTTCACTACCTCTCTCTGTAACTCTTTCAAATAAATAAAATAAATCTTAAAAATAAAATAAAATGTTACACATTAAAGCCTTATCTTAAAATTTAAGTTAGGGCTGGCGCCGCGGCTCACTAGGCTAATCCTCCGCCTTGTGGCGCCGGCACACCGGGTTCTAGTCCCAGTTGGGGCGCCGGATTCTGTCCCGGTTGCCCCTCTTCCAGGCCAGCTCTCTGCTGTGGCCAGGGAGTGCAGTGGAGGATGGCCCAAGTGCTTGGGCCCTGTACCCCATGGGAGACCAGGAGAAGCACCTGGCTCCTGCCATCGGATCAGCGTGGTGCGCCGGCCGCAGCGCACCAGCTGCAGCAGCCATTGGAGGATGAACCAACGGCAAAGGAAGACCTTTCTGTCTGTCTCTCTCTCACTGTCCACTCTGCCTGTCAAAAAATTCTAATAAAAAATTTAAGTTATACTAAAGCTTAAGGGAAAATGAGGCCAGTGCTATGGTACAGGGGGTTAAGCCAATGCTTGCGACGCCTGCCTCCAGTATCAGAATGCCGATCCCAGTCCCAGCTGTTCTGTTCCAGTCCAGCTTCCTGCTAATGTGCCTGGGAAGGCAGCAGAGGGTGGCCCAAGTACCTGGGCTTCTGTTATCCATGTTGATACTAGAATTGAGTTCCTGGCTCCTGGCTTCAGCCTGATGCACCCCTGGCTATTGCAACTATTTGCAGAGTAAACCAGTAGATGGAAGCTCTCTCTCATTCTATCACTCTTCCTCTCAAATAAATAAATAAATCTTTTTTATAACTTAAGGGAAAACTCTAAAAGAACAAAATATAATTTTTATATAGAAGGAAAAAATCATAAAGAATAAAACTGATAAATAAATCAAAAGTAATCACTACCTGGGGCCATTGCTGTGGCGCAGTAGGTTAATCCTCCACCTGCGGCACCAGCATCCCAACAGGCGCTAGTTCAGGTCCCGCCTGCTCCACTTCTGATCCAGCTCTCTGCTATGGCCTGGGAAAGCAGGAGATGGCTGAATTCCTTGGGCCCCTGCACCCATGTGGGAGACCTGGAAGAAGCTCCTGGCTCCTGGCTTTGGATCGGCACAGCTCTGGCTATTATGGCCATTTGGGGAATGAACCAGTGGATGCAAGACTCCCCCCCCCACACACACCTCTGTAACTCTGCCTTTGAAAAAAAAATAATAAATCTTAAAAAAAAAAAAATTCCATGAGTGCTGGGGTGGGCACTTGGCACAGCAGTTAGGATCCCACTAGGGATGCCTGCGTCCCATTACATGAGTGGGTCCAAGTCCTGGCTCCACTTCCAATCCCAGCTTCCTGCTAACGTGCACCTTGGGAGGCAGCAGGTGATGGCTTAAGTCCCTGGTTCCCTGACACCCATGTGGGAGACCTGGATGGAGTGCCATACTCCTGGTTTCATCTCGGCCCAGCCCTGACTACTGTGGGCATTTGGGGAGTGAACCAGTGATGAAAGATCGCTCTCTCTCTCTCTGTGTCTGTCTGCCTGCCTGCCTTTCAAATAAGTAAAAATAAAATAAATTCCCTGAATGCAAAGGATTTTGCTTCTTTGGCAACTTCCCCATCTCTGGTACCCAGAATAATGTCACACGCAGGGGAAGCACTCAAAGTTACTTGCCAAGTTAATATCTTACACAAATTAATGTTGTTAGTCTTTGTGTATTCAACTGAGAGACAGGGAGAAGGTGACAGGCAAACAGAAGGGAGAGGCTCCCATCAAACAGGAAAGACATTCAAGGCTTCAGTAATTGATGAAAAGTATCAAAATCTAGTTCACTGCATAGGAAATACAGTGAGTAATAAACGAGAAATAATGTTCAATATTCCTAGTCGAAGAACAGAGAAGGAAAACCAGAGGCACTGTTTTACCCCATCACACTCTCACGTGTCGTCAGAGGTAACAGAAGTCACACTAACAGCACAGGCATTTGCACAGTGGGTGAGACGCTGCTCCTGCGTCCCAGATGCGTGTGCCTGGGGCTGAGCCCTGGCTCTTCTCTGGACTCTGGCTTCCTGCTAACAGCACCCTGGAAGGCAGCAAGTGATGGCTCAGACAGTTGGAGATCTGGATTGGGCACTGGGGAGGGAACCAGCAGATGGAAGCTGTCTCTGTCTCCGATCTCTCTTTGCCTTTCAAATAAAAATAAATCAATACATGTTTTAAATCACACTGATGATATATCATGGCACATTCAGTTTGCATTTCCTTTTAAAAAAACAGAGAAAGCACAAAAACCTGCATGTGTAAATGTTACCACTGGGTATGTTGGAAGACTAACAAATGCAATTCCACAACACATGAACCATTTATAGTCTTGAATGTTATGCTTATGAAGACTACGCAGTGATAAATGAAAATGGTGGGATAGCAAATGCGAGTAGGCATGGCATAATTTTATTACACGATCAAAACTACTGCACACTGGAGTGCCTGGGTGCGAGTCCCAGCTCCACGCCCCATTCTAACTTTCTAATAATGTGCACCCTGGGAGCAGCTGGCATTACTGCACAGGAGTTAAGCCACTGCCTGCAGTGCCAGCATCCCATATGAGCACTGGTTCGAGTCCTGGCTGCTCACTTCCAATCCAGCTCCTTGCTAATGTGCCTGAGAAAGCAGTGAGAGATGACCCATTGCTTGGCCCCCTGCACCCGCATGGGAGACTTGGAAGAAGCTCCTGGCTCCTGGCTTCGGATCGGCCCAGCTCTAGCTGTTGCAGCCATTTGCAGAATGAACCAGCGAATGGAAGACCTCTCTCTCTCTTTCTCCCTTCTCTCTGTCTCTCTCTGCAACTCTGTATTTCAAATAAATAAATCTTTTTAAAAATTGCCAAATCTGGGCTCTGACCCTCTAGTTGTGACCCATGTAGCTTCCTACTATGTGAGGAATCCCCCAATTCCTCCACACAGACACGGGGGAGAATTGCAGCCAAAGGCACTCTTTGTTGTGACTATGCAGGACTGAAGCAGCCCACCCCCACCAGACAGACAGCTCTAGACACCTTAGCTTCCTACCTCTTCAGTCTTAGAATTCATTTTGGGGCAAAGAAGCCCTGCAGAAGTGGGCCCTGCCTAGCTTGGAGGACTCAGGACACGCAAATCAAGCAGCGAGCATGGCTTAAGTGCTTGGGCCCCTGCTCTTGCCTTCAGCCTGGCCCAGCCCTGGCCATTGAGGCCATTTGGGGAATGAATCGGCAGGTGGAAGACCTCTCCCTCTCTCTGTAACTCTGCCCTGCAAATCAATAAAATAAATCTTTAAAAACAGAGAGAAGAGCGCAATCTTACCCTTGCAGCTCTGAGACTCTGTGGAGGCGGCAGGTGGCCGAGGTGACAGAGTGTGGAAGTGCCCAGTGATCTGCAGCTGCCATCTTTTCTGGTCTAGGGTAAGAAGTGAAAAACCTGTTGAGAAATTATGGCGCCACAAGGAGCCCTGTAACAGGGCCCTGGACTAGCAGACACGGCTTCCCCAGATGCCACTGCCATTCCCTAGTAGGGGACCCCCTTTCCCTCCCCTTGTCTCCCCCAGCCTCCTTCAGCCATTTCCTGAAGCCCCACATCAAGACTCTGTCCCAGATCCGCTTAGCATTAGCGCCTCAGGGGGGACCTCGGCCTGCCCCCGCCCCAGGCCCCTGGCTGGGATGCTCCCTCCAGTGTGCCACGGGCCAGTGTGGAGAGGACGACAGGAAAAACGAAAAGACCAAGCATTACTTTGTATCCATACTGCCACCTGGCTCTACTGTGCCATAGTAGGACTTGCCAAGATCATAGGTGATACTTGATGCAAAATTAAATGTTTTTAACCAGAAAAATGTTTTTTAATATTAATGGGATTTGAAAATGTCATGTAAAATGGATTTTTCTCTCTCAAGATTTATTTATTTACTTGAAAGGCAGAGACACAGAGAGCAAGCGAGTGAGAGAGAGGGAGAGACATCCACAGAGAGAGAGATCTTCCAACTGCTGGTTCACTCTCCAAATGGCCACAATGGCCAATGGTCTCCCACATGGGTGCAGGGCTTGGACCATCTTCTGCTGTTTTCCCAGGCACATTAGCAAGGGGAACTGGATCGGAAGTGGAGCAGCTGGGACTCAAATCAATGCCCATATGGGATGTCAGCACTGCAGGCGGCGGCTTTACCTGCTATGGTAAAGCCATACTCCATATTGGCGTTACCTAACTCCATATTGCCGGCCCTTTTTCTTTCCTACAAATATTTAAACTTCATGTAGTGAAACACCAAACGATACTGCACATTACAAGAAGATGTGTGAGCGTGCACACGGTGTGCCTGTAGCAGGTTAGGGTGCAAACATGGTAGCAGTTCCCCCTACAGAAAGAGCTGATGGAGTAAGCTCCTCTAATAAACGTAGCCATGGTACACAGGTGTCTGCAATGGCAAGCCCAGCTCCCCCAGCCTGGGCTGGACTGGGCTCGGCCACTTGCTGAAATCCCCAAGATGCGCCTATTTCACTCTCTTGGCTTATTAGGGAGGAGAAAAGGGAGAAGTGTTGTGCTCAACTCCTGAAGCCGACAGGGAGCACTTCTGCACAACACTGGAAAGTAGGGCTGCCTGTGCGAAAGATCGTCATCCAAGCCACATCATCTAATTTTAGAACCATTTTTTTTTTTAAAAAGATGTATTTATTTACTAATTTATTTGAAAATCAGAGTTAGAGAGAGGGAAAGGCAGAGAGAGATCATCCATCTGCTGGTTCACTCCCCAAATGGCT